TCAGATCCCACCACAACTCCAAGTCCTGTATGGTCCTTCAGAGAAGACACAGGGAGTTCAGATCCCATAACACAACTTAAAAGCTGTTTTACCCTGGACTAGTGACTATATATGTCCCACTTAGCTTTAGGTTCTTAATGTAGAAAATGTTATCCATCTCAGAGCCTCACTTGCTGGCTGTGTGACTTTGGGTAAGTTGCTTCACCTCTCTGAGCCCCAGCTTCCTCACTCGTGAAATAGGATAATAGTAGTAACTATCCCCGCTGGGCTATTTTAGAATTTAAAAATTAATATGGGAGAGTACTTAGCACAGTGCCTAGCATATAGTAAGTAGGAAATTCATTTTAGCATTGACATTATAACTACATAATCTCATTTTTTTGTTTATAAAAAAGTAATCTGGGAAAACTGAGACCTATTGAATTAGAAACACCAGTTGCTCTGCCTCAAAAAACACTGAAAAAGCAGTTTAAATATTTATTCTTTTTTAAAATGTTAAAGCAGATTTCATTCATAATATCAATAAAACATCTTAAAATTCCCTTTCCTCTCCCCGCTCTCTCTCTTTTTCTGGCCTTCCTTCCCACTGTCTGAACAGCACAGCAGCCCCCATATCTGTGTTCTGATTCCCTCAAGCCCCCTGGAGAGCTCAGCCTCCCCTGGCTTTCACGTCCTTGGCCCCTGCCCCAGCCTTTCCCCATCCCTTCCACCCCAGCAACCTCTGCTCTTTCTCTCTCAGCTTGTTTTTTTCCTTTCCCTTGTCACATCCCCCAGATTCGCAGCATTGCGCCAGACTGAAGCTGCCTGAACTACCAAGTTTCCTTCCTCAAAGGCAGGGAGGAAGGGAGGCTATGCACAGGTGGGTAATGGTTTTCCTTTCACAAAACAGACACACCCATCAATACAGCTAAATGCAGAATCACACCAAGGAGTTAACAGTGGTTAATACCTGAGGTGAGGGAAATGGGATTTTTTTTCCACTGTATTTATTTCTGTCTTGTTCACATTATTTTGCAGTGAACATATATGAATTCATTTGAAATTGGAAAAAAAGACATTTTATTTTATATTTGAAATTAAGTTTAGAAATCAGGGCAAAGGGAGAAAACAGTAGAAAAAGTAAAGCAAGAGCACAGTTAATATAAGTATCCAAAATATATTTCATTGGTCCTGGATTTAAATCACGTAAAGTGCTTGGTATGGGGCCCAGCACATACTTGCTAAGTAGCAGCTATTGTAGATCAGGACTTACTGGACCTCCGACCCCTCATAGAAACTCAAACTGCCCAATTGAATCAGAGTAGCTGGTGGCCCAATGGGAAGGGGTCAGGCTGGGACATCCTGGTCCCAGCCTCACCCCGTGTGACCTCTCTGCAGGAGTGGATGGGCCAAGAAATAGTCTAATTAGGTCTGACAAGCTCTGCCGGTCCCCTTGCCTGTCAGCCTCTCAATGCGCTTCTTCCGATGCCTTCCTGACAATATCCTCCCAGGCAGGCTGGTAAATGTCTATGTCGTGGGAGTCTGTTCCTGGAAAGTTTGATTACCTGCCTCCTACCCCCACCCCGGACCCTGTCCAGAGTTCTAGATTGTCATTTCAGTTCAGTTATGGAAGACAAAACAAAATAAAAGAAGTGCAAAGCCCTTATAACAAGTTTCATTCTGTCTGCATGCCTGTGGGCTGCCCATTTTGTCCGGACTCTATCTGACTTGGACCATGGCATAGGTCCAAAAATAAATAAATAAATAAAAAGGCAACCACTAAGTGTTCTTCAAGCACCTACTGTATACTAGACATTACCAAACATCTGTTCTGTACGAGGTGATAACACAGACAAAACAGAGGAAGAATAATACCAATAATAACCATTGCCATTTATTGAAGCGCTGTGAAAAAGAAGCCTCTCCACAAATTCTCAGAGATTTTTCTTGTACCCTAGTGAATCCTGAGGCGCGGACAGACAGAAACCACACCTAGATGCAAATGCCAGGTGCTTCTGAGGCCCTCATTCTGCTCTGCTTGGCTTGGTCAATCAGAGCCACTGGCCACAGTGACTGGCTGAAGAATGGACACATGTCTCAGTAAGAGCCAGTGAAATTCAGTTTCAGGAATGTTGTTGGAACTGTTGAGAAACAGAGTTCCTATTTCTGCTGGAGTCCCTGAAAGACCAGGATGCATGGCTGATGCTGCTGGCAGCTGTCTTGTGATCATGAGGAGAGAGGCTATCAGACAATAAAGCCCCCAGATAGGAAACCATCTTGAGATGGAAAGAATGACATTGAATCCTGATGACATCATTTTAGCTTCTCCACACACATACCTAAAGTTAGTTCTACTCCTGTACTTTCCACTTTAAGTTGGGTTTCCTGCCAATTTGAGCCCTAATGCTCCGACTAAGCAATCGGTGGTGCCCAGAGACCTGGGTATTTGAAGGAAGCACCTGTCACCACCCAATCTCTAGGAATCTGACAAGGAAAACATGTTCTCCTGCCACACAACTGCTCATGTCTGTCAGAGAGGACACTGAACCCACAAATGCCAACAGAAGCAACATGATGCCAGCATAGTAGCAAATCCTCTCAGACTTGCTGTGCCTCCTTGGAAAAGTCACTTTCTCTCTCTGAACATTAATTTTTCTCATCTGCAATAGAAGGTGGGGTGGGAATCACAGCATCTACTGCGTAGAACATCGCAGAAGGCTATTTGGAGGAGATCTGAAGATCCCCAAGGAGCTGGGTGTGGGTCAGAGTTGGCAGCAAACCTTATTTCCCGAGTCCCTAAGCAGGCTGGCCCAATGGAAAATATACAGTCACAGTGACACTGGGAGGCTGCAGGGCTTGTCCTGCTTCTGCTGCCAGCCCAGGGAGGGGCTTTGGGTAAGCTCCTCCCCACAGCCAGGGTTCTCCTTTCAGAAGTGAGAACCACAGCCTCTCAGTGTTCTTCGTGGAGCCAGGATCAAATCCGGTTCACTGCTGTATCCCCAAACTCAACTCAGTTGCTGCCCATTGTGTGAGTGAATGAAAGGTGGTCAGGATATACAAATTTCTTTTCTCTTTTCAGAGCTCATTGTTGGAATATAACATAGAGAAAACACACGCATTCTAAGGAGGCTTCACAAACTGAGCACATCCTTGAACCCGGCCCTTCGTCCTGAGACCACATTACCAGCACCCAGAAAGTCCCCCTGCTACTCCCTTTCTAGTCATTCCCTCCCCAGAGGTAACACTAGCGTGACTTCTGACAGCATAGATTAGTTGTTTATCTTTTATCTTCATGTAAATGCAGGAATGCTTAACGGAGGGCCCACGTGTACATTAACTCATTAAATCTTCACATTAGTACAGGAAGGTGGGCAGGAATTACAAATCCCATTTAACAGAGGAGAAAACAGGCCCAGAGAGGAGAAGGGAATTCCCCACGATCACATTGTTAGCAAGTGGAGAGCCAGGATAACTGGGCTCCATTTTCACATCTCCCTACATCTCAGAATGTCCCTCTTGGTATCAGGCTGTGATTCCCAGGAAGACACTGGAGGAATGGTCAGGCATTGAAGCCCCAGGCCTGGACAGCTGATGGTGTAAGTTACCTACCCTCCAGGATGGAGAGAGTGTCTGGGCCAGAGAAGACCTGGTCACCTTTAGAGCATGGCCCAACCCTCCCCTCTCCATCATGCTCCCCATCTGGGGCACTCAACATGCTTTGAGAATTTTGACAAGTGGCCCTCCACCCAGTGTCTTTCCCTCCACATTGAAGAATTTAGAGTGCTGTTGAATAAGAGCAGGGAGAGTTCTTTCCACACAGCTGCCTCCCAATTCTCCGGGTTGCCATACACACTGTCCAGGAGCAGATGGCTCCCGTTGGAACCTGGTGCTCTGTGCCTTGGCCGTCTCTCCTCTGGGGGCCGAGTCACCCTGAGCCAGCTCCTAAGCAGGGGTGGCTGCACAGTAGGTACCCTCTCTTCCAGCATGCACCTCTGTCCCCAGGCAGTTCACCTCCCTCATCCCTCTCCCACCCCACCGCTGGTAGGCAAGATTCCCCAAACCTTTCCTTCTGGCCTCATGAACTCTTACACATCCTTTAAAGCCCAAACCCCACCAGCTCCCAGATGTCTTCTGTTTTTCCTGAACATACACTCATTATGCCCTCTGTACAGTGGCATAATTTGTTTCTCTTTGTCAACACAACACAAATATAGATGGTCACAAAGTCACACAAACAAAACACACTTTCACTACACGTTTTTCCCTCCTATAAACTGGGTCACATACACAGTGTATCAAATTACAACCGTGCCCCTCTCATGTGTGCGCACTTACACATACACACACAACACCACAAAACCACAGGAATTTGGTCTCTGTTTACAACAGGGACACAAAGTCGCTTTCTACCGCGCATGTACAGCAGGCCCCAAACGTACCGATCACACAGCCTGGAAATGCAGACACACAGCTTTTCTGTTCCTTCCTCCTTCACTCACTCACCACACAACGTACATGTACACACGGTTTCTCCCCTCGACATATAAGCGCAGGCATGGAGAGCCCTCGGTCCTCTCGGCGGCCTTCCCGCCGCCTTCCCTTCTCTGCGCCTCTCTCGCCCGTACACCCACAAACGCACGGCGAAGCACACACTCACGAACCCCAAATATTGTCAGTCTCTGTCTTTCCCTCAAATCTAAACACACCGGCACGCGGGATCTCTCCCTCCCCGCTTTTTGTCTCCTCCCCCCCCTCTCTCACACACACACACACTGCACACGAGCGTGCGCGCACACACCCCACATAAACACACACGCAGCTGCAGCGCCCTGGGTCACAGTCCGTGCGGGCGCCAGGCTGGAGACAAAGGTCGCCCAGGCTCCCGGCGCCGCGCGCAGGACACAGCCGAGCCTCTGGCTGGCCTCCGCCCGCCTCCGAAGAGGGTCCCGGCGAGCTCTTAGCCCGCGCGCCCTCGGGGTCCGCGCGCAGCCAGACCCTGCGCCTGGCGCGCCGAGGGTTAAGGGCCCGGCGGGCGGGGGCGCCGATCTCCGGCTGTGATTGGCCGCGCCGCGCGGGCCCTGCGCCCCGCCATTGGCCCCAGGCCGGGCCCGCCTCCCGGGGACTCGGCGCCCAGGCCGCGCTCGCCCGCGGGGAGCCGAGCGCGCCGCCGGGGCCAGCCTGCCGAGCCGAGCGTCCGAGGAAAGCGGTCGAGAGCCGAGAGTCGGGAGTCGGGCGCGGGGCGCGGCGCGGGGCCGGAGCGGAGCACGCAAGCTATGGTGAGCGTCGCGCCCGGCCGGGCCTCTCACGGTCCGCGGCAGCGCCGCGGTGGGGCTGGGCGCCGGCTGCAGCTCTCGGAGGGCGTGGAGTCGGGGTCGCGCGGGCAGGGCTCGGCTCGCCCGGCTGCGCAGTGCTGGGTTCCGCCGGGGCCGGCCGCGGCGAGCTCGGTTCTGGCAGCTGGACCTGGTGGGGTTTGGAGGGCTCGGGATGGCTGATTCGGTTCGGTCTCACTTGGTACGGTTCTGGCCTGGGGCGCCAAGAAGTCCTGGACTTGGGAGGGCTTAGACACCTTGGGCATCTGGGCTGAGTCCCGTTCGGAAGTCGAGGACAATTTCCAAGCGGCTGGATCCATTTGGACCTGAGTGCCCCGGGACGCTGAGGCCGGTCGGCTGAGGCTCGGCTTGAGGCGTCGTGGGTGGCCGAGCCTGGCGCATTCGGAGAGCTAGGTCGGGGCACTCTGGGGCTGCCGATCTTTCTGTGGTCTAATGGGGTGGAGAATGGAGCCGGACAGCTAAGTTGGCGGCTGTCAGAGACCAGGAGACACTTGGGGACCCTGCGCCCAGCGATCTGGTCTCCCCAGCATCTCCCAGTAATAGGTCCTCAGAGAAGGGGTTTGCTGAGGACTGGCACTGAGTGGGATAGGCACCGGCACCAGGGAGAAGGAACTGGGCAACGGGGATTCTGAAACCCCAAGAGAGGAACCCATTTGGCTCAGGCTGGGCTTTTGGGGGTTGTTTTAGGGAGGGGTGGTCGTTCCTGGAAGGAAAGCCCTGACTTTTCAATCACCTCTCAAGGGCCTCAGGATCACCTCTCCGTCTGGGAGTGGAGGCCGCCTACTTCTCTTCGGTGTCTTTCCCAATGAACAGGCGCCTCTGATTCTTTCTCCTGGCCCCCTTCTGTGCCATGTGAAGGGACTATAAGTCACCATGTAGATCTGAGGAGGGCATGCCTCAATCCCAGGCACAGAGCCGCCTCCACTTCTCTGATGCTGCCAAGTCTGCAGGGGCCCAGGTGGGGGCAGTGTGGTACTCCTGTGACAGGAGGAGTGCCGCCATGACTCCCCGGGGATCAAGCTCTTCTCTGGCCAGATCTGGAGCCCCCTCACATTCTTTCCGCTCTCTTCTCTTCCCGCTACTGTCTGTCTCCCCCTGCACCACCACTTGCCTCTCCGGAGTCAGTGATAGTGAAATTATTGCTTAGAGACCATCTTGGACCCAACCTACCTCCTTGTCAAGAACCTGACCCCTGGAATGAACTGCTTGGACAGTTTCAGTGGCAGGGAGCTCCCTCCCTGTGGACCCGCACTTGGCTTAAGGGTTCAGTATATTGGCAATAAAAGGTGGTGAGACTTTGGGGTTTGATCATCCAGTCTGTTTCTGAGCCCATCCTGACCTAAGTTATTCAGAAAGAGAACTGTTTCTCTTTAAAAACCACCAAAGAAATAGAGGTCACCTTGCCTTGATGGCACTTTTCAGAGCCTTACAAGAAGCCCCCCAACCTATCAGGAAGATGCCAGACTTTGGCATCACACAGACTCAAGTTTGGAGCCTGGCTCTTCCACTTGCCCACAGGGACTTGGGTCAAGTCACATCATCGCTTCTGAGTATTCATTTCCTCCTGGTACAGCCAGATGATAGGTTTTATCTCACAGGGTGGTGTGGGGATTTGGTGAGATCACCCAGTGAGAGTGCTTGCTCAGATGCAACTATAGCTTTTCTTGTGCAACCTTAAGCTTAAATTGGAAAGTTTTGCCTGATATCTAACTTATTTGCTAGGCTGGAAGGATGATTAAAATTTATCATGTTGTGGGGAGAAAGAGACAGTGATACTTAGAGGATCATTCATTTGTTCATAATTCTAGAGAGGTTTATTGGACGCTCACTATATGCCAATCCCAGTGCAACAGAGGAAAAAACAGGGTCATAACCACTGTTTTGAGGGAGCATCTGCCAGTCTATTAAGTGTCTGCACAGATCCTTAGGCTAGGTTCCATATCTCTTGAAGAGCTAGAGATATCCTGCCGGGGGAGGGCTCCCTCCTGGCTAGAGAGACGAGAGAAAGCTTCACTGAGCAGGTGGCATCCGAACTGGACAGAAATCCCAGGTGGGGGAACCTGTGTGAGCAGAGGACCAGAGGTGTGAGAGCACAGGAAGTGCCCTGGGAGAGACCAGTGTGGCACCTGGGCATGAGAGCCAGGAGAGAGGAGAGAAAGTGGGCAGGGGATGTTGCTGGGGCCAGATGGCTGACGGCTTAGGCAGACTGAGGAGCTGGATCTCCACTGTGGATTGTTGACCCACCATGTGTAGGTCGGGTGGGGGCTGACATCAGGCCTCCTCAGCCCCGTCATTTTGGTTTCCCCTAAACGCTAGTCTCTGTGCTCATTCCTGAGGTGGGGGTTATTCAGGGCTGCTCAAGTGTTTATTCCTTGGACCTCCTGCTCCATGGGTTTTAAACAAATCCAGCGCTCCCTCCCCTCCAGCGTGGCCAAGTTTCCTTTGGCCTCCGGCTTCCTAATGGGGCTCCTTCAGAGAGCATGTGGGCTGTTTCTTCTTGGCCGAATTTCCCTGATGGTCCCCAGCTCCCTACGCAGGTCCCTAACCTCTTGACAGGGAGTCAGCGCAGTTCTTAAATGCCTTGGGTAGGCCCTCCCAGTGCAGGCTTGGGGTACAGAAGAGGAGGAGGATCCCAGAGGAGGCTTTTTGTATCTCCTGTCTCCAGTTCTCATACTACCCGGCACCAGGCACAGAAAGGTGCAGGAGATGCCCAGGATCACACAGCAAGGGAGTGTCAGAGCTGGCACAAGCCTCCTGGATGTTTGAAGGGTTTCTAAGCATGCAGGTTTGGGGGAAGGCCACCCAACCTGACATCCCCAATCTGCTTTTGGGGCACCTTAAAAATGTTCCTCCACATTCCAATCTAGGGGCTGAGCTTAAAGGGGGTGGGGATGGAATCATCTTTACTGTAAGAGACTGAGTCCAACAGTGTCCACTACCTGCATGTACCACCAACTAGCCTGTGACCTTGGGTTAGCTATTCCCCCTCTCTACACCTCCTTTCTTACCAAGTTGGGCAGATCAGCTCCCTTTTCAGGGTATCATGAAGACACACTCTAGGATACAATGTAGAAATGCTTGGCAAATTAAGAACTGGAGGGAAACTGGTATTATTTGAAGATGAGAGGCCAGCCACATGCCCCCTGAACTAGCATGCATGCGGTTCCCAGGGCAGAGGAGAGCCTTACCCTGTGTTATGCTGGTAGCTGGTTACTGGTGTTTCTTGCGTTGCTAAGACTTTTGATAAACAGGCATGATGTTAACTTTTGTTAAAGAATAAGTACATTGTCTCCTAGACAGAATTGGAGAGACCAGGCCCTGTCAGGGAAGGAACAGGACTTGAAGGGTAAGAGAGGCACACAGTGGGTTTGCCAGAGTTTCAGGCGTTAGTCAAGATGTAAGCAGCTTGGCTAAAGTCCACACTTTGATGTCTACAGTGAGGGAGGAATCCGCAGCACATGTTTATGACTTTTTGTGTTTCTGCTCAATTTTTCTTTTTAGTTAAGTAGCTAAGCACCCCTGTCATAGTCAGAGCGCTTCATTCATTCATTTCTTCATTCACCAAACAAGTCTGCCTGGCACGATGCCAGGCACGATGCCAGGCAGTCAGTGTGAAGGAGACTGATAGGTTTCCCTTGCACAGTCTGGCGGACAGACAGATATGGAGCAGGAAATTACAAGTGCGATTGGTGTTACCAAGGAGACTCTCAGGGTGCTGTCGAGCAGATAGGGAAACCTCACCGAGGGGTCAGAAAAGGCTCCCTGAGGACATGACATTAAAGCTGTGGCCTAAAACACGAAGGGGACCTGGAAGAGCATTCCAGGCAGAGGTAGCTGTGAGTGCAAGACAGCACAAGACAGTACATTCAGGAGTTAATTCATCTGGAGGCTCAGAAGAGGATGCTTGGGAGGTGGCCGGGGCAGGATTTATGTTAAAGATTTGGGGCTCTGTCCTAAGAGCAGTGGGGAGCTACTCAGGAATTCAGAGTGAGGGGAATGGCATCAAAGGTGACCACACGGGCTGCTTTGTGGAGAATGGGCAAGAGGCATGAGGCTGGCAGCTGGAAACCAGTTAGGAGGCTGGTGGAGTGGCCCTGGGAGAGGCAAAGATGGTCTGGACACTGGTCACTGCCCCTTCCACCCCACACCAACCCCCACAACGCTGCCCAGCATGGGCAGTGAAGAGGGGAGGAGCTGTGGCCCCAGAGGCAGCACAAATCCCCTGTGGACATTAGGCTTCCCCCCACTTCTTTCATTCAAATTACCACTGGGGCGCCTTATCTCTAGGAACTTTGGTCTGTTAGAGGAGAAACTCCCAAATGGCTCCGAAACAAGGTAGAAAATGGTAAGTGCCAATGAGGAGATGCAGCCCCAGAGTCACCCTGGCCATAGGTGCGTATCAGGGAAGGCTTCCCAGAAGAGGTGGCATTTGAGCTTCCTATGGCAACAGGTAGTGGAATGGGGTGCTTCCTAGGAGTCCAGTTCTGAAAAAAAGGAGATACTCCCCCATCCTTAAGAAATTACAAGTCTGGGGCAAAATTTAATGAATGACCAAAGTTGACTGAACTCCTCAGGGGGTGGCCCTGGGAGTTGAGGGCCTCGGGGTCCTGCCCTTTTCCTTGGGGGTCCTGAGGGTAGGGATGGTGGGGATTTCTGCAGGCCTCCCTTGGCTCGAAGGCAAGCCTTGGAATGGCCCCCTCCTCCCCCAGGGCTTCTGGGGAGCTCCTGAGGGAGAGATGTAAACAGAGGAACAAGTTTCTGGAGCTCATTCAGGAAATTAGCTTTGAAAGGATCCAACTTCAGGGTCCAGAGCCAGGGAGGTGGGCCTGGCTGCTGGATCTTCTTAAAATCATAGATAGAGTGCTTGTGTTAAAAGGCAATTTGTAATCATTGAATTCAGCTTCCCCATTTTACAGGTGGGAAGACTGATGGCCAAAATGAGCATC